TCCACTATGGACCTCCAAATAATTTTTCGGACACGCTTCTAAGTCCAAAATCACCATACAGAGCTATTGGAATCATCAGATTTCAAATCCGAGGTCGTTTACACATAAGTCAATATCCGGTCGTCTTTTCCAACTTAAGCATTAAGCCTTGGAACTAAGTGTTCCAATTCATTCCAAAACCTCACCGGACCCGAACCAATTAATCCGTTAAGTCATAAAACAATTGTAAAGCATAAATTGAGGAGTAAATGGGGAAACATGATTGTAATACTCAAAATGACTGGTCGGGACATTGCAATCGTAGTGCCGTGCGAATTAACTCAGCCATGCTAATAATAGCACAAAATAGTACCCTCTCGAGGGAGTGCATTCTGCCATAGTCTATACCACAAAGTGGCCATCTACGCCTATACCGGCACGTATAGTTTCATGACGAGAAATACAATATATCTAAAGTCAATCTCAGTGAACACAAGTAACTCCCAAAATATTTGATATTTCAAAAATATATTCATAGCAAAGTAGCCTCAAAGGATCTATTTTTATCAAATCGTAGCATTAAATTAAAAAAATCTAAACCATTTGAACAAAAATTAAATAAACAACTTTTACATGTTAAAGCCTTTAGCAATTTAACATCAGTCTTTAAAAGACACCACAAGTACTATTCTGCTCCTCAATTTCTAAAAGGAATACTTTCCGTAACAACTTACCTTTAGCACTCAAATATGTATACTCTTGTCAATACGAAAGTTTTGATAAAAACTTATAACATTTATCTTGAGTGTCATTTTGCTAACAAGATTTAAATAGAATTTTATAAAACAACATGACACCACATATGCAACATAATATTTTTGTACATGGAGATATTTGTACTTTTTTGTCCCCACAAGCACGAAAGCACATTTGCAAACAACTTAAGTATTAACTCGAAACATGATTTTAGAGAAACAACTTAAGTATTAACTCGAAAGCACATGGTTTTAATCAACTTACCTCGCTTTCGCTTTATTAATATTCATAAGCTTTCAATCTTCTTCCATCGTTCCAACGTTGATTAAAATGCTCAAGCATCACCAAAAAGTTGATATCTACAATTAGTATCCCAATTACATCAAAATATGACATAAAAATTGATCAATATCCATTTATGGCTCATAAGTTGACTACAAGCCTCCAACAACTCAAATCGCCAAATAAGTTCACTTACTAGAATATTCAACTCCACTCTTATCAATTAATACCCATTTGAAGTCATCAATGAAACTACATTAATTCTCCAATACCGCCAAATTACTACTCATCGTCTTCATTAACCAACATTACCAAAATATTCAATTTGGTGATTACTTAGTTGAACATTTTCAATTTACCTAGAAAATGATTCCATAGGTTCATTGCATCCTTTAATTTCATTTCTAAGAACATTCTTCATCTTCCCTATTTTTTCAAAAACACTATTCATGCCATGAACTAGGGTTTGTGAATTCAATTATCCAACCATAACAAGTTGAAACAAATATTATAACTACTCTCACCGACTCATAAGAAATGAGTTTGAAGCATTAGGATTACCTTCTTGAAGTTTTTTCTCAAAATTCAATATTTGGAAAATTTGGTGTTCTTGAACAACTTGAAAGATTTCTAGGGATTTCAAAGATTGAATGATGTTAATACTAGTGTTAATAGGATGTTATTAACTTAAAGTGTCCATAAAAACTCACTTTGTATTCTTAAGTTGTCCCAAAGGTCGAATCCACCATGACAGCACCAAATCCTAGCTCCAAAATACCCTATCACCCGACCTTGTACTTATAGGCCCAAATTTCTGGGTTTCGGAGGCGGCCCCGGATGCTTCGCATCCCCATTTCACTCCTTTTCGAAGCCTGGACGCTATGGCGGTACTTCACTGCCAGTCTTTGGTAATTTGATCATAACTTCTTGTAGAAATGTCCAAATGATGAACGATTTGTAGTGTTAGAAACTAGACTCAAAGATCTTTCATATGATAGGTTGTCCATCACATAACTTCTTATATATATATATAGATATAATCGTCCAAAGTTAGGTTTTGTGCATATTCATTTGAAACTTTAGTCTATCATGTAATTTCCAACTTGACTTAGACTTAGGGCTCTCCTTACACCCCACATCACTTATAACATTCCTTGTACACTTATTATCATACCCAATTAATATCCATCATATTAATAGTCCTCGTCCGCACATAAAATAATGTAATTAGTACATATCAACTTTCTTAATAGCGCTTACAATAACAACAACAGCGACCCAGTGAAATCCCACTAGTGGGGTCTGGGGAGGGTAGTGTGTACGCAGACCTTACCCCTACCCCAAGGGAGTAGAGAGGCTATTTCCAAAAGACTCTTGGCTCAAGAAGACAAAAAGATACAATATCGATATCACCAACAGAAACCATAGGAAAAATAACATCATGAAAATGAGAAAGTAAATGCAAAGCAAACGCAATAGACAATACATAGAGCTGACACTATGAAAAACAAAAAAGTAGTAAGACACAACCTTGCCACTAGTTGACATAGACAAAACCCTACCAGACTAGCCTCACAAAGGTACGAAGTAAGGGAGACTCAACTATGTACCTCCCAAACTACAACTCTAATACTCGACCTCCACAACTTCCTATCAAGAGCCATGTCCTCGGAAATCTGAAGCCTCGCCATGTCCTGCCTGATCACCTCTCCCCAATACTTCTTAGGCCGTCATCTACCTCTTCTCATTCCCTCCAAAGCTAGCCACTCACACCTCCTTACTGGGGCATCTGGGCTTCTCCTTTATACGTGTCCGAACCATCTGAGTCGCGTTTCCCGCATCTTGTCATCAATGGGAGCCATGCCTACCTTCTCCCGAATATCTTCGTTCCTAATCTTATCCATCCTAGTGTGTCCGCACATCCACCTCAACATCCTCATTTCTGCTACTTTCATCTTCTAGATATGTGAGTTCTTAATAGGCCAACACTCAACTCCATACATCATGGACGGTCTAACTACCACTTTGTAAAACTTACCTTTGAGTATCAGTGGCACTCTCTTATCACACAAGACTCCAGATGCTAACTTCCACTTCATCCACCCCACCCCAATACGATGTGTGACATCCTCGTCAATCTCCCCTTCCTTCTGGATAACCGACCCAAGGTACTTGAATTTTCCACTACTTGGTATGACCTATGATTCAAGCCTCACTTCCACGTCCAATTCCATTGGCTCAGTGCTGAACTTACACTCCAGGTATTCCTTCTTCGTCCTACTCAGCTTGAAACCCTTAGACTCAAGGGCCTGTCTCCAGACCTCTAACCTCCCGTTAACACTGGTTCGCAACTCATCAATCAGAACTATGTCATCGGCAAATAACATACACCATGGCACCTCCCCTTGAATATGGTGTGTTAACATGTCCATCACCAGGGCAAATAAGAACGGGCTGAGCGTAGAACCTTGGTGTAACCCCCTAACAACTAGAAACTGCTCAGAGTCGCCTCATATAGTCCTAACCCGAGTCTTAGCCCCATCATACATGTCCTTAATTACCCAAATGTAGGCAGCTGGCATGCCTTTTGCCTCTAAGCATCTCCAGAGAACTTCTCTAGGAACCTTGTTGTACGCTTTCTCTAAATCAATAAACACCATGTGCATATCCTTCTTCCTCTCCATGTACCGTTCCACCAACCTCCTAATAAGGTGTATAGCTTCCGTAGTAGAATGATCCGGCATGAACCCGAACTGGTTGTCAGATATAAAAACTGTCTTCCTCACCCTCGCTTCAACCACCCTCTCCCAAACTTTCATGGTATGACTCAGTAATTGCATACCCCTATAATTGTTACAACTCTAGATATCACCTTTGTTCTTATACAATGGAACCACCGTACTCCACCTCAATTCTTCTGGCATCCACTTCGTCCTAAAAATAACATTAAATAGTCCAGTCAGCCACTCCAAGCTTTCTCTACCCACACACTTCCAAAATTCAATCGGGATTTCGTCTGGACCGATCGCTCTACCCCTACTCATCTTACGCATAACTCCCACGACCTCCTCAACCTCGATGCGCCTACAGTCCCCAAAGTCACGGTGACTCTTGGAATGCTCCAGTTCACCTAGCACAATATCCTGATCCCATTTTTCATTCAAAAGTTCATGAAAGTAAGTCTGCCATCTCCTCTTAATCTGAGCATCTTCCATCAATACTCTACCATCGTTGTACTTAATGCATCTTACTTGGTCCAAATCCCGGGACTTCCTCTCTCTTGTCTTCGCCAGCCGGAATAACTTCTTCTCTCCACCTTTTTCCCCTAGTTCTTCATACATACGACCATAGGTTGTGGTTTTAGCCTCCATGACTGCCAGCTTTGCTTCCTTCTTAGATACCTTATACAACTCCATGCACGGCCTCCTCTCCTCCTCACTTGTGCTCCCTACTAATTTTAGGTATGTTGTCTTCTTCGCTTCTACTTTACCTTGGACCACTTTATTCCACCACCAGTCTCTTTTGTGCCTGCCAGAGATGCCCGTCGAGGTCCCTAACACTTCTCTCACAACCTCGCTTATACAGTTTGCTGTCGTCGACCATATAATGCTCGCGTCACCACTGTTTCTCCAGGCTCCCATAGCCGACAACTGCTCCTCCAACTCTTGGGATTTATCCTTAGTCAAGGCACCCCACCTGATTCTCGGTCATCCGCGGTCGAACCTTTTCCTTCTCTTTAACATAATACCAACATCTATCACCAAGAGCCTATGTTGCATCATGAGTATCTCACCTGGAATAACCTTACAATCCTTACACAGCCCTCTGTCACACCTCCTAAGGAGGATATAGTCAATCTGAGTCGTCACCATAGCATTTTGGAAAGTAACTAAATGCTCATCCCTCTTCGAAAAGCTAGAGTTCGCAATGACCAACCCAAAAGCCTTAGCGAAGTCCAACAGCAAAGTACCTCCTCCGTTCCTCTACCCAAAACTGAAGCCTCCATGCACCTTGCCATAGCCGCTTGCGGTCGACCCAATATGACTATTGAAATCCCCTCCTATAAATAGCCTCTCAGTAGGCGGTACTTGACTCACAATCTCATCTAACCCCTCCCAGAATCGCCGTTTAACCTCCTTATCCAGGCCCGCATACGGGGTGTAGGCGCTATCGATTTTTAGGGTGAACTCTCCAACCACCAACTTAATATTCATCAATCTATCATTCACCCGTCTAACCTCAACCACCGACTCTCTAAGTTCCTCATCCACCAAGATACCTACTCCATTCTTACCCTTCCGGACTCCGGAGTACCAAAGCTTATACCCGTCTGCATCCCTCGCCCTAGACCCTACCCACCTAGTTTCGTGGGCACACGCTATATTGACCATCCTATTCCGGAGGATCTTTGCCAACTCTATAGACTTACCCGTCAGTGTACCTATGTTCCATGGCCCAATNCACCCCCACTCCCCTCGAGGACATGACTTCACTCGGCCATCCCAGACCACAGCCACTATACCTACGACAGACTAAAAGAAATAACTAACATACACTAAGCAACAGACCAGAGTAGAGGAAGATATATTGTAACTACAGGCACGCTAATATAGTGATTAAACTAATATAAACTAAGATGGCAGCAATTTAACTAACACAATGAAGGGAAACAACAAAACGGGAGGTACCAACTCCCACAATTAGAACCTGGGAATTGTCTTGGTATACACGGCGGTATTGCGGCCACCTTGCACGTTCAGGTCTAACTCCCGCGCCGCACCTTATTGATAGTCACACGGACTATTCTTCACTTATTTGCACATGCACGTCCTGCTCGCCGCCAAAAGCCACCGAGCTTAACCTGAAATACACATAAAACACCACGAAGCCAAACAAAAGGGGAAGGGATGTCACCACTACCACTGGTGAAGTCCCAACCGTAACAAAAAAGTGCAAAGAAAAGGTAACGAAGAGGAAAGGAGCAGAAAAAGGGGGGGATTACCCGCAACTAAGAATTAAAATTGGAGAAGAAAAGCAAGAGGGAAAAGAGCTGATGTTGCTGCCCGGCAAAATAGCAGTCGCCGGTAGTGTTGTTGCTCTAGTAAGTATGGGAGTGGGGAAGAGGGAAATAAGAAAGAGGAGAGAGAGTAAGGGGAGGCGTGAGAGATGAGGGGGAGGGGGGCTTACCTGCTGGTGGGTGGTCGCCGATGTGGGGTGGTCGTCGGCTACCTGTGAGTGTGCGGTCTGATTTTTGACCGCAGGGAGAGGATAAAGCATTTTTCAGAGAGCATTGGCTAAGAGGTGGTGGATGCAGAGTAGTTATCACCCTGAATATAGACTTGGAAAAACTAAGCTGGCCGTCAACTGAGATGACAGTAAAGGGTAACTCGAAGAGAGATCAGAGAGAGAGAGAGAGAGAGAGAGAGAGAGAGAGAGAGAGAGAAGTCTCACTTAAGTACTTCAATATTTTCTGGGGTGCTACATACACATGTTAACTTTGCAATGAAATGACGGGAGGTATGAATTTTTATTATACCTTTATCATTTTATGTGACATGATTTAATGAGTTAAGAAATTTAGCATATTAATTTAACTAATATTATAACGACCCGACCGGTCATTTTGAGCTCTAGTGCATCATTCGATAATTTGGGGCCATGAGAAGCTTCACTTCAGGTATTATGACTCGTACGCATGGTCGGAATTGAATTTTGGAAGTTCAGAGTCAATTTGGAAAGAAAATTCTCATTTCGGAAGCTTTAAGTTAGGAGAATTCACTAAGGTTTGATTTTAGAGTAAACGACCTTAGAATCGAGATTGGAAGGTTCCAACAGGTTCGTATGATGATTTTGGACTTGGGCGTATGTCCGGATCGGGTATTGGATGACCCGGAAGTGTTTCGGCGCCTATTGTGGGTAGTTGGCATTTTTGGAAGGATTTCATAAATTTAGGATGAAGTGCATTTCAATGCTATCGATGTCCGTTTGGGATTCTGAGCCTGGGAATAGCTCCGTATGGTAATTCTGGTATTAGGAGCGTATCCGGAAGTGAATTTGAAGGTCCGTAGGTCATTTCGGGATCATTTGGCGAAAGTTGGAAATTTGAAGGCTTTTGAGAAGCTTGGTCGAGAGTGAAATTTTGATATCGGGGTTGGATTCTGATTCCAGAAGTTGGAGTAGGTTTGTAATATCAATTATGACTTGAGTGCAAAATTTGAGGTCAATCGGGCGTGATTTGATAGGTTTCGAGACCGATGTAGAAGTTTGAAGTACTAAAGTTCATTAAGCTTGAATTGGGTTGCGATCTGTGATTTCGATGATGTTGTTATGATTTGAAGGCTCGACTAAGTCCAGATAGTATTTTAGTACGTGTTGGAATAATGGGTTGAGGTCCCGGGGGCCTCGGGTGGATTACGGATGCTTAACATATTGAATTTGGCCTTATGGAGATGCTGAGGTTGTTGTCTTCTGGTGTAACCGCACCTACGAGGTTAGGGCCGCAGGTGCGGAGCCGCAGAAGAGGCCACGAGGGTCGCATAATAGGCTTAGGCTGGAGATGGCTAGGACAGCAGATGCGGCCGAGTTTCGCAGAAGCGGGACCGCACCTACGCATGTGGAGCCGCAGAAGCGAAGGCGCAGAAGTGGATGGGGGCCGCATATGCAGAGCTGAGGAGTCTGGAGGAGGACCGCAGAAGCGGTAGAGTGGCCGCACATGCGGAGCCACAGAAGCGGCTATTGCACCGCAGGTGCAAGGATCGCTGGGCAATGAGGTTTTATAAAATGGGGTTTTGGCTCATTTTCACTTCATTTCGTCCATGGGAGCCGATTTTGGAGCACTTTTGGAGTGCCATCTTCATCAACTATAATGGGGTAAGTGATTTATTCACAATGTGAGTTAAATACCTGGTTTATACATGGATTCAAGCATGAAAATTTATAGAAATTTGGGATTTTGAAGAAAAACCTAGAAATTGGTATTCTTGGATTTTGATCACGCATTTGGGCATGAAAAGGAGAATAAATTATATATTGGAATTCATAGTGCTATGAGTAATGATTATCTTAGAAAATTTTTGGAATTCGGGCACGTGGGTCCGAGGGTGATTTTTTATCGACTTTTAGAACGAAATTGGAATTTGTTATAAATTGGATTATAAGGAGTATTAGAGTATATATTCATGGATTTACACATTTATTGACTAGTTTTGGAGCGTTGAGCATCGATTCGAGTTATTGGAAAGGCTTGGGAGCCGGTGAAGGAACTTCGGAGCGAGATAAGTCTCCTTTCTAACCTTGTAAGAGGGAATTAACACCATAGGTGAACTAAATTATTATGTTCTTCTATTTGTGAGGACTACGTACGCACGAGGTGACGAGAGTCCGAATGTAGCTACTAGCTATGCCTATGTCCGGGTAGTTTTAGGCTTACATCATGGCTTGTTGGTATTGTTATTGATTTATGATTATTGTTTGACTTGAGAAGGAGCGGGATTTAGTTTGCTTATTAAATGTTTTGAAAGAGTTGAAATTGAGAAAAAATTGGGATCTTGAAAGTTTTTATTTGAATTTCGTATTTTGAAAAGAATGGAAGAATACTATAATGACTTAAGAAATCTATGTGTAACCGCGTCGCAAGTATGATCCGCGAGCGAGGTAATTCATTAAATTTATATTTGACCGCGTCGCATGTATAATCCGCGAGCGAGGTAATAGATGCATCTATTGTTCGCATCGTTCGACCCTCGGCAGTGCACGGTTTACATTTATCTTGGATCGGGCCGAACGTCCTCGGTGGTATTTGTGTGTGATAACAGAATTGGAAATCCCTTTTATAATTGGTATAAATTCATTATTTGAAAGATTATTGTTTTAAATGAAGGAAATGATTTGGGTCCTTAAATAGGGTGATGAATTATTCAGTTATTTCTTGTTCTGAGTTTTATTGTTATATATATCATGCTTAATTAAAATTTTCATATTATCATATTATTGCCCCTTAGTAAGTGTCGAAGTCGAACCCTCGTCACTACTTTTTCGGGGTTAGGCGGGATACTTACTGGATACGCGTTGATTTACATACTCATGCTACACTTGCAATACATTTTTGTGCAGGTGCATATATGTCTAGTGGCCTCGTGGGCGCAGAGGCGCAATTATTGCGGGGACTAAAGTGAGCTGCATTCCACGTTACGAGTCAGCAGCCAGAAGAGTTTCCTACATAGTATTTATATATTTCTTGTCCAATTGTATTTCGGACAGATGTTGTATTTTATTTTATATTCCTAGTTGATGCTCATGCACTTGTGACTCCGGGTTTTGGGCGAATATGGGCTGCACTGTGTTGGAATTTTTAATGATATTATTATTTATTTTGTAAACTCCATCTTTTACTATTAAATTAAAGGAAATATGATTTCAAAAATATCAAAAGTAACAAAATGAGAACCAAATTAAGTATTTTTTACTATTAAATTAAAGGAAATATGATTTCAAAAATATCAAAAGTAACAAAATGAGAACCAAATTAAGTATTTTTTACTATTAAATTAAAGGAAATATGATTTCAAAAATATCAAAAGTAACAAAATGAGAACCAAATTAAGTATTTTTTACTATTAAATTAAAGGAAATATGATTTCAAAAATATCAAAAGTAACAAAATGAGAACCAAATTAAGTATTTATTTATGGCTTGCCTGACCGCGGTGTCCGGCGCCATCACGACCTTTAATGGATTTTGGGTCGTGACAACATGGTATTAGAACACTAGGTTCACGTAGGTCTCATGAGTCACGAGCAAGTCTAGTAGAGTCTTGCGAATCGGTACGGAGACGTCTGTACTTATCTTCGAGAGGCTACATGACTGTTAGGAGCACTTCCCTTTCTTGATTCCTCATCATGCAATTTGATTCATTTGAGGCTTATGCCTTCATCTCCTTCCTATTCGATCTTATGCAACGTGAAGCGCCTGCTATAAATTCGGAATCGAGGAATTTTAATGGTACTACAGATGTGGTGCAGGATGTTTCTCCCTACGTATTTGATTGGGCTATTGTCCTCGCCTTGCGAAGGTCGTTCTGTCGTTGCAACCCAGTATCAGTATTACCTAAGGTTTTGAAGTTTGGCATTGATTGTTATGACAGTTCGTGCGTTGCTATCGCACTGTGTTTGGGTACTGGTAGGATGCTTGTCTATGCGTCGAAGCAGTGAATGACTTGGAAAGGAGGTTTACTCAGTGCATGATTCAGAGATCCAGTATTTTATTTCCGGTGAAGGAAAGGCAATCAGACTAAGAATGTTCAGGTTTGGGGTTGATGGAATAACGAGACTTGGTATTTGGAGTGTGGTAGAATTTTCATCTGTGATGTGGTGTCGTCATCCATATTGAACGCGTTAAGGTTCGCCGATGTTATAGTCTTCTTCAATTTTCCTTCGGGGCAAGGTGTTGTGAAATGGTGCCTGAGATGCGGTTGTCAGAGATGACGGAGTGTAGCGATTTCGGAATCGAATTGGTACTTCTAGTTTTGATGGATCGAGGAGGATGACCTTCCAAGAGGTTTAGGGTTGGTAGCGACTCATTTGTTC